AGTACGTTCCTGGGAATTCCAAGTGGGGGACTATGTCCTCCGCCGAAGGGAGGCGAGCAAGCCGACGGAAGGTGGGAAGCTAGCACTAAAGTACGAAGGCTCCTACATCGTCAGTGCCGTATTCAAGCCCGACACCTACAAATTAAAACACCCAAATGGGTCTAATATACCACGAACGTGGAATGTATATCACTTGGTGAAATTCTATCAATAATCCGGGGACGGCGCAGCCGGCAAAGCCCTCACCTTCCCACGAGCTGTTGATCGAATGCCATCCTCGGCCTCAAGCCACTTATCAATAAAAGTTGTATTCTACTTACTTTTCTAAAAAAGTTCAAGGAAAAGATACTACATTACATCGACCCCTTAGAGCGAAACGCTCAGGAAAGGCCGACAAAGCACATCGTATCGGCCCGTTAGAGCGAGACGCTCAGGTAAGGCCGACGGTGTCCCCAGGACGAGGGGCCTGCAATGAGCCCGTGTCTTGAAATGGGAAGCTCACCGCGTCGTTCACTCATGAAATCGCAGGACGACAGGTCTGAAATCATGGCCGAGGTGACAAAAATCCCCAAACTTAGGGATGAGAAACGGCAGCCGTCGGTGACCGACCAAAAGCCTTAGCCCGCGACATAAATAGGTGACGGGACCTCCCTGAGACCATAGGACGATCCAGTAGGACTCCTTACCGGCCAAAGGACAATCGACCCCCTCGGCTGAAGCCTGAAAGAAGGATAACCCCTCCTCGCTCAAAGAAGTAAAGAGGGAGAATATAAAAGAGGGACAGCCGAAGGACCGTGCACTTGCCGGCCTAAAGCGATATCCCCAAAAATAAAAGAGGGACAACCGAAGGACCGTGCACTTGCCGGCCTACAGCGATATCCCCAAAAATAAAGGGGGACACCCGAAGGACCGTGCACTTGCCGGCCTAAAGAGATATCCCCAAAAATAAAATAGGGACAACCGAAGGACCGTGCAGTTGCCGGCCTAAAGCGATATCCCCAAAAATAAAAGAGGGACAGCCGAAGGACCGTGCACTTGCCGGCCTGAAGCGATATCCCCAAAAAATAAAAAGAGGGAAGGCCGAAGGACCGCGCACTCGCCGGCCTCGAGCAACAAAAAATAAAATCCCCACAAAACACGCTAAGTACATATCAGTTAAACGCAAAATGTAAAACTCAATACCACCCATCCAAGCCTAGCCCCGGGCAATCCTTGGACGAAGCGTGCGCTTACAAACCAGCCCAAGAGCACTTGGAAAGTTCCCAAGTGGCACCCGGATGGGCGAAACAAGGGTCGTCACCCTCATCGGCCACAACAAGGTGAAACGAGTACATGATCACTCAACACTTAGCATATTTTCCAAGTATGGAGGGATAACAGGAGAAAGTGCACAAGCCGAGGAAGACACTAAGGCGTGCAAAGTTAACCACCTATTATTCGCATTAAAGGAATAGTATGGATGAAGCATACACGCACAAGTTACTCAAGATCAAACCCTTCATCGTCTGTGGCCGGAGAAAACAACTACCTAAGTCTGTCCAACACTTAGAAAAATTTCAAAGTACTTAGGGAACATTTCCAAGGGGCACCAAGAGTGGCCGATAAGGGTCCTAAGGCCGAATAAAGGGCCAACAACCCTCATCGTCTTCAAACAGTCTTACCCCATCAAAGAAACATCAGCCCTCTTCGTCCACAGTGAAGGCCATACAACGGCCAGAACGTAGAGCGCCCATAACGGCCAAAAACAAAGAACCAGAGCAAAGGGTGCCCACAACGGCCAAAACAGGGAAAACCCCATAACGGTCCCACAACGGCCAGAGAACGTCAGAACCATGGAATCTACTCTCCCTCACTTTGTCTACATCTCAGCTCAGAGAGTGCGGGACTCCTGATGGAGTATATGGGCCTGGACCCCAGGACCCACATACTCAAAAGAATGAGAGGCAAAGCTATCACCCAGTGGGGCCTCCGTCGCCCAGATGGCCCCCTATTGGCCAGAAAGACATCAACTCATAACATGGTCCAAAATCCAGGAGAACCGGGTGTCCCCGTCGGCCGGAGCTTCGTCGGTCATGGCCGCGTCGGCCATGGCTCCGTCGGCCACGAAAGACTCCCAGAACCGGATCTTGTACTTAGTCATTTCTACATATCTTGTACTCAGCCCAATAGTGGTACAATTGTAAATGGACCTCCCAAGCCCAAGACTTGGGAGCCTAGCCCTAATTTCCTCTATAAATACTCCCCTTGGGAGTAGTTGTAGGGGGTTCACAAATCATTAATACAAAGCAATTACAACACTTCTCTCTCTAACTCTCACCTCTCTCTAGGAGTTAATACTCCATCAATATTTATTCAAAAATATTGATAAAAATGCAATTTATATGTCTTCGACTAGTCCCCGCCTAGTCGTCCGCCTAGCCGCTAGACGCTGGGTTGGCACCCGACTAACGTCTAACGCCTTTTAGAACATTGGTGGCTGGTGTTCTATACCTTGTGCGACTCTAATGTAAGGGGAAAACGGAGCTACCGTACACATGTACCGTAGCGGAAAAGAAACAAAGGAAGGAGGCTGGGATTAGATGGGTGTGCGGTGATGCTCATAAGGGCAAAACAGATTTTGTAACCCTCTTTATTAATAAGTGAGCCCAAAAAGTAAGGGATTCTCATTTTGGACGGAGGGATTAGCTCACTTTAGAAAAGAGTTAATTCCTTTAATAGGACTAAAACAATGAAGAAATGCACAAATAGGACTTACATGTTTCATAGGACTAAAAATACATTGATTTGACAACATTACCCTTAATGAAATTCTAAATATACTTACAATTAAAATGTAATAATAAAAAAACATTTCTAAAGCCCTAGCTACGGTAGTGGGCTAGCCCTCTTGTACGAAAACTGCCGCTGCCACCGCCCTCACCGGCCGCCGCCTCCCTCCACCGGCCGCCCTTCATTGGCCCTTACCACCGCAAATTCTAGCGCCATCACCATCAATGCCATTATGTTGGCAAAATCTGTACCAAATCTGCCATTAAGTTGGCAAAATCTTCAAATGAGTACAAAAGAAATATTTTTCTGCCACAATATACTCCCTCCGTCCCATAAAGTAAGTCCCATTTTCCTTTTTTAGCCGTCCAAAAAATTGTTCCCATTTCCCTTTTTGGAAAGTTTTGTGTGGCTAACATTCATTTACCTTTTTCTTACTCAATCACAATCATACATTTCCACTTTATTCCCACTTTCTTAAACTCCGATCCAAATTGAAATGAGACTTATTTTATGGGACGGAGAGAGTAATTGCTAATATTCAGCTAACTGCCATAAATTTGGCAAAATATGCAAGCAATACCCAACAATCACATAATCCAGATTTTTAAATGAAATTAGATGTTTAATGAAATAAGAAATCAAAGCATGAAGTAGATGTGCGAAAATAAAAAAAAATACCAAAAACTCAGAAAAAACAAGTGAAAATTTTGCCATAATACAATTATTAAATATGTCATAAAGTTGTCAATATTTTGAAATGTGTAAAAAAAAGGTTTTTCTGCCATAGTAGAATTGCCAATTTGCCACTATGCACGTAATTTCCATATATTAGGCAAAATATGCAACCAACATCCCACCCAGAAAAACTGATTTTTAAACAAACGAAGTTTAACGAGATCCAACTTTGAAGCATATGTGCAAAAATCAGAATCATCGATTCCAGAAAATCAGAAAATGAATTGGCAGAAAATCTGCAGAATCCAATATAAAATCATTCAAGGAAAACCGGATTTTTCACAACTCACAAGAAAAATAGAGGACAAAGAGGAAGGAGAAGGAGGAGACGAAGAAGAGGGGGAAGACGAAGAAGAAGGGGAAGACGAAGAAGAAGGCGATACCTGGGATTGGCGCAAATCGACAACGATGGTGGAAGAGGCATCGTCATAGAGAGGTGGCAGCGAAGAGAGGAAGCGTAGAGAAGTGGCGGCAGCGATGGAGTACATGTTGTTGCTGGGAGAGATGTTTGCGAGAGAGAGGGGAGGCGCAGCGAGAGCCGATCAAATGAGGACGATGAGCGTTTAGGAATTAGGGTTTGTTATTATATAGAAGGGTAAAATGGTAATCCGTAGTCCTATTTAGGAAATTAAAAACTTGTAGTCCTATTTAGAGAATTAAGTTTAATTTTAATCCTATATAGGACAATTACTTTTTAGAAAAGTGGTGTGCACTGTAACAATAATAATAGTAATAATTGTTAAAGAAAAACACATTTTTTATATTCCCCACGTAGGAATAAAGATGTTCTAAGGGATAAGTTTACCGTTTTATATAAATATTTTATTTTTATTTGTAATAAAAGATATTTTAACAGTCATCCTAGTCACAATTTCAGCACATTTAGCAGATTTAATTCAACCAATTTATTCAAATGGTCTCTAGTAACAATATCATAAGACGAATCTTCTCCACAGACCGGTCTGACTGGAATCACCGTTACTGTGATTCTATTTGATATGTTTTCAGGTGGAAGTTTTTGACAAAATTTTGTGAACATATTGTTCATGAAGTGCAAATTTTACTCGCTAAACTTCACCTTAAAATGCAATCAGGAAGTCAATTAAATAATTTTTTGAAAAAAATTGCGTTTATGTTGGTGCATTTTTTCAACAATCTACTTAACTAATTTACCAATTGAATTTTAAAGTGAAATTTTGTGAACATAATCTAGATTTCATGAAAAACATGCTTACAAAGTTTTTATCACAAATTTTTATCGTAAACACCTCAAATGGGGCCGGCATGACAGTTGTTCAGGTCAGGCCAACATGAGGAGAAGACCATTCACATAAATATCATACTACCTCCGTCCCTTAAAACTTTGCCAACTTTCCTTTTTTGGATGTCCCACTAACTTTGCCACTCTCATTTAAGTAAAAAATTTATGATTCCAGTTAATTCTCACTCCTCTGCACAAACCTCAACCACACAGTTTTTACTTTATTAATTCCCGTGCCGGTCAAACTTGGCAAAGTTTTAAGGGACGGAGGGATTAGAAATGTACAGTAGGACGGAGCGTGTTTGATCTTGAACATTAGAAGTACAAATTTTTGAACCTACATAAATTTAGTGTTGGATAAACATTTGACATAGACTAAAATAGAAAAATAACAGACAGCCTAGTGGGCCTATTATGCCTTGGGACACTTGAATGCATCAGCATCTGTGTTAGCCTTCTGCCGGGCAGGCTCCTTTCGTCTAAGGGATGCATTTGGGCATATCTCCAGACAAGTTTGTTTTAGCGCTTCATCATCCTCTGGTTCAGGAGGCAAGATCCCAAACTTGAACTGCCCCGTCAAAGTTATTAACTTTTGTTTCACTCATCTTAGTAACATCATTATTGACTCATCATTACCTGACAGCTATAGTCGCTGAACTTTGGCTCCATAACCAAAGGCACACCCATAGAATCCTTGAAGAAAGCCTAAAACAAAGCAGGAAAGTAAGAACTGGGTGAAGGGGCCTACCACCACCTCTATACTATATTATAAACTGTAACAATACATCCAACCGAGATGGAGTGATCACTGACCTGCGTGGGGAGTTTGCAAGTATTAACACATATTCCCACACATTTGCTCTCTTCTAAATACTTGCATTTTTCCACCAGCACCTGCATCCCCAATTCCCATTAAACAAAAATTTACCCATTGGATCAGAATGGATAATCAAACAGGAATCTCGGGAGATAAAGCAAAGAGATGAAACCCCACCCCACTCATCCATGATGATCCGTCGGGAAGATCCACTGAGTTGACTTTACATGGACCCATGAGCCATTGGCAAGATAATGCAGTAACCCTTGCTTCCGGAAACAAAAAAAGGAACTCCATTACAGTTGTATACACAGATCTGATATTATTTGAACCCAGCCTAAATTATACTCCGTAGAATTTTGAGTCAAATCCATTAAACACCCAAATTGCATTCTCCCCCTCTAGAAGAAAGAATGAACTCATTTATTGATTAGGGTCAAACCCTTGTGATATACACATACTGCAAACTATCCCTTCTTGTCATTCAAAAAAATTAATTCCCAAGTAAAACATGTGCCTTTGATATTCAAACTATGACTAAAATTTAGGTATTTAGAGAAATTCATGATTAATTGTAAGATTCGTAACACCACAAGCGTGTGTTTTCTAAGCAGCTAAATTTGTCATTTCAGGGTATTATGTGCATAAGCAAGTAGGACATAGATGCATTTTGTGAAACACGAGGGTTAAATATGCATAAGGGGTTTCACCGTTTCACACATTAAACCGGATTGGTTAGTGATAACTCATCAACTCACCTACCATCACCGCAGCAATTTTACCTCCTCCTACGGGTGCAATAAGCCTTCTGTAGAGATCCAACAACCATGCAGGAAAAAGAGATTCTAATATCCGCACCTACCATATACACACAATGCTCTACTTAATAAGCCCACAATTGTATTCTTAGACCAAAGTTCAAACAACTGCGAATTGACGTTAAATCCTAGGAATAATAGAATGATGTAATCATAATGTCTCTCTTTTATGCTGTTAATCTGTATTTCATACAAGTATATGTTTGCTGTAGGATGACTTAACATACTACCTTATAACTGATGGAGTAATAGGACTAGGCCCAGAGCCTAATCAACCCAAGCCCCGAACTTGGACCCGTGGATCCAAGTCCACAACCTAGAGCCTGCCTGCCAACCCAGCGGGAAGCCTGCCAGTCCGACCGACCTCCCAGCCCGGAAGAGTAACGGTCAAGCAATTAATGCACTATTAATTATGTATTTAATTCTTTATTAATGTTGTAATTAGTTAGTCATTATTATCGGTAGCGGTTACGATTTGTATACGCCTATAAAAGGCGGCTTGTAATTCATATTAGAGGGACAACTTCTATATGCTATTTCTGGCTAACTTTCCATATTCGTACTTTCCTAATTCCTGCTTGAGTGTCGTACGTAGCTTTCCTAAAAGCCTACGAGCGTCCTATTTTGGACCAACATTGGTGCTTTCATTGAGAGCCTCTATCGTCTCTCACATCACTCTAGTAGGAAATTTCAGAAAAAGAGGCGAAAATCCAAGCTTTCTAACAGTTTTTCGTATCAGTAGTCCAAAATCTGGAAAAAGAATGAATGAATCTGGTCAAGATTCCAAGTCAGGCAGGAGGGCGATTGAGCGATCATCTTCTCCAAATTCTAAGCAACACAGAAACTAAGATTTCGAAGTGAGAGCTACGGATCTGATCTAAATCTCACCCGATTGGGGAAGACGCCACGATCATTTCATCCAACTGACTGAAATCTCCAAGTCAGGACTTCTTTCACAATCTGAACATGATTCGATTATAGCCACTAAGGGATCTTAACAAATTCCGAAAATCCCTGGAAAAGCAATGCTGGGATTACAACAACAGTGAAATTCCAACTTGATAGGTCCTCCTAAGAATCGTAGATCCCAGAAAATGATTTTCAGACATATGTCGGATTGTTCATATAACCCAGTGTCAGGAGGAATGAAAACCTTTCTCTCTTCACCGATTCCTCGATCTGGAACCGAGCGCGCGGAACGGCGGAAGACTACAATTGTTGGCGAGGCCGAGCATGGACTAACGGTGGGGAAGGCTGTCTGGCTTTGCGAACTCCAACCCAACCTGATTTATCTCTTGGTTTCTGTCGTGGAGGGGAGAAACCGAAGTCCATGTGGACCATGTCAAGCTCCTGTTAGCTAGACAAATCAGTGGGCCATCCCATCTTTGGCCCAATCACGGTTTTCAACAGCTATGAATTCACCAACACACTTCATTTCAGCCCATTCTAAAAGCTAACTGCACTCTCCAATTTTTTGTTTAAAAAAGAATCATACATTAAAAATATTTGAAAAGAATTTTAAGTGATATGGTTGCTTTTACTCTTGTTAAGTGTGTAATTTTAACATTGAAAAATGGACTTATGAAATCCGATCACTCACATACACCGGACGAGCACACACACTCGTACAATGGCCGAGCACACACACTCGCGCCACCGGGTCATGTCATATGGGTGTGGCGATTAATAAGCTCCAATATAAATGTTAATACCTCACACTCTTGACTTCTTACGGGTTCTTGTGTGCTCTTACCTCTTCCTAGTGCATCACACTCCGACCTCGGGGGACGAGTCATCCGTTCAAAAGTCTTTACTTGCGGGTTCGAACTACTAACCTCGGGCGGCGAGTTAAACTCTTGTTAGGGGCCTAGAGCCACGCTTTTCCGAGCAATTTTGTCACTTAATTGACGTTCACATTTCTCGAAGAGGTTGATATACTTTAGTTCTCTGGGGTTGGATTATCCGTTCGAGTGAGGAGTCCGCCTCACTTACTCGCGGATTCAATCTTTCTTTCGGAGACTGGGTTGAGGCCTAACTTGGGAACTTGATGTCACTCTTTTCAAGTAGTGAGTCCGACTCGCTTACATACTGAGCCGTGGTTTGACACCAGGCCAGATGCTCTATTCTACACTAGTTTCTTTTATGTGTAGGTACAACTGAATGAAGTGGGGGACTGAGGGTCTTACCGTCTTCAAGGAAGCACATGACGAACCTGACGAGTCTAAGCTCAACGAGAAGAACAGTTCTAGCCATCCTATTCGCAGATGGCGACCATTACAATAAAGGCTGAGGATCTCACCTCTTGCTTCATCTTGGGGACGTCAGATGTACTCTTTTTCCCTTCATTAGGATTTTTTTTCCCATTGGGTTTTTCCCTAATGAAGGTTTTTAATGAGGCATCTCCCCAACATGGACAAGGGCGGGGATCTTCTAGTCTCGGAGAAGAGCAACTGACTTGGACTACTCCCTCTTAGCCGAGTCTACTACTCGACTAAGGGAGTGGGGGACTCGTGATGGAGTAATAGGACTAGGCCCAGAGCCTAATCAGCCCAAGCCCCGAACTTGGACCCGTGGATCCAAGTCCACAACCTAGAGCCTGCCTGCCAACCCAGCGGGAAGCCTGCCAGTCCGACCGACCTCCCAGCCCGGAAGAGTAACGGTCAAGCAATTAATGCACTATTAATTATGTATTTAATTCTTTATTAATGTTGTAATTAGTTAGTCATTATTATCGGTAGCGGTTACGATTTGTATACGCCTATAAAAGGCGGCTTGTAATTCATATTAGAGGGACAACTTCTATATGCTATTTCTGGCTAACTTTCCATATTCGTACTTTCCTAATTCCTGCTTGAGTGTCGTACGTAGCTTTCCTAAAAGCCTACGAGCGTCCTATTTTGGACCAACAATAACAATGCCTATTCATAGGAACTAATCCTATATTACTGACACTGTAGTGTGATCATATGAGAACATGAAAAACTGCATCTGGGAAATATACACATACAGTGAAACAAAAGGAACTTCAACTTTATCATAGCTTATATAAAGCGCCATACTGCAATTTCTCTTGTTTCAGAATTGGTTCGACCAATCATGAGACGATTTGCAACTTCAATTAATCCATCATATCCAGGCTTTTCAGAATCCCATCCAGACTCCTATCCACAGAAGATTGTGCCAAGCGCAAACAAGAGTAAATGCTAGGGAGATATTAAAATTGGTGGATGTTATACGGAGATATTTTAGGTATAAACAACACAGCTGCCGGAAATATCTTAATATAAAAAACTAAAATTGAGTGAGTAAGTCACTAAGTTGGGGCTGAGTGGCTGACCCGGGCCATTTTTCTACGGAACAAATGAAGGAAGAGATTATCGAGCGGACCGGGCTTATATGAAGTTCTCTGCGCAGAATCTCTTGCATCTGCCTGCCAGGAAATCAATCAATTTCAAGGAACTCTTCAGTAAGATGCTATTGAGCGGATGATTCGGAAACAAACAATTCGACACAGGAAAAGGGAAGAAGTTACTTGCAGAGGTTGCGACGGAGTGGAGGAGGAACATGAAACTCGAAAAGTTGTATGCCGGAGAATAGTCACCGGAGGATGAGGGAAGGCTAACGGAGTTGGGCGGACTATGGACATAGCAAGCTGCATGTTCCTCCTTCGAACTGAAATTTGTACGCCACTTCTATTTTGTTTAGATGCATCCTCATATTAGGTTTCAATTCGGTTTTATAGGTTTTCCATTCGGTTAGTTTGGTTGGTTCTATTTGATTTAAAATGGATAAGAAAATTCTTACCAAACAAAAATTATACTCCCTCCCATATTTATCTTCGTAGTTCGGTTTACGATACTTGACTGACAATAAAGTAACTTTATCCCTGTTCACACTCAGATTATTTTTAGTAAATTAAATTTACATATTCAAGAACTACATTAAATCCGCTACAAAGTCTGGTCAAGAAAATTTAAATTTGATAAACATTTGATATATAAAGTAAAGGATTAAGAGTAATTTGAGTTGACCATTGGAATAGTAACTATGAAGATAAATATGGGACGGAGGGAGTACGTGTACTCTCCCTGTCCCATTTTACATAGGCAAATTTGACTTTTCAAGTCAATGAAGTTTAACTTTGACCGATTATATGTTTATATAGAGAAACTTACTAATATGAAAATGATGTGAAGATGTTATTTGTTTAAAATACTATCATTAAAGTATAAAATTATTAAATTATGCATAAATATATTAGTTTAAATAATTGGTCAAAGTTTACCACCTTTGACTGGAAAAGTCAAAGATGACTACGTAAATTGGGACGGAGGTAGTATTATCTTTCGATTAGATTCGAATCAGTTTAGTTCGATTCAGATTTTTTATTTTTTAATACGGAATGATGAATGTTTATTGAATTTGTTTAGTTTGGTTCTGTTTAATATAGTTTGGAAGAAAATTGATGTCAAACTCAAACTATATCACATATGGTTCGGTTTGGCTTCTAGTTATTTTGATTTAGTACGATTTAACTAAATCAATTCGATATAACTACCCTGATTTATAAAGCAATATATACTCGCTATAAATCTATAATACACATTACTATTATTATCACTTAAAACTTACAAGTGACTTACAAGTGATAATAACAGACTAGAAATATCACTTTGTTTTGGGAAACTTACAAAAAATATCACTTCTTTAATAAGGCTAGAAAGAGAAAGACTCTACTAGACCATTCGTAGTGATTGGATATTAGGAGTCCAAAATTTAAAAATTATTGAAATATATTGAATTAGTGATCTTCCCACTATTCCTGATTAGGAATACTTATCACCATTGTATAAATAATTAGGAAATCATAATTATGATTCTAGATGATAATTGTGTGGTTCACAATTATCCTCTAATCCTAATAAGCTTAGCTTTTCTCCTATAAATAGGAGTCTTCTCCATTGTAATCAACACACCTTCATTACACCATTATCACACTCTCTAATACACCTCTATCACTAAGTGTTCTACTATACTTTCTCTCCCTGATCTTCTGCTCATTTCCTTCCATATTATAACACGTTATCAGCACGAATTTGCTCCAAATCCCTGATATCATCATCTTCCCAGCAGGTATATATTTCTACGAATTTATCAACTTATATGAAAAAAAAATCAGAGGATGAGAAATATAAACATGTATAGATATATTCAAAACTATAAGAAGTATGCTCTATGGTTGCCCAACCGTTGGGATCCTCCATATCAGAAAAGTATAGTTATATTTTCTGTAAAAGAAATTGAAGAAGGCAAAAGATAAATCTACTTTGCATCAATATGTTCTTCAAATTCCTAATATATATAAATATATAATTATAAACTACGTACGTATATTAAAAGTAATAGACATACCTTTGTTGAATATATATTTAAGCTTATTTGATCGAAGAACTCCTAACAATATGTAAAATCTGTTTTTCTTGAATGTGAAGTGATAAAAACATCAACTAATGAATGATGGAACTAATTAATGCTCGTAATTATCTACATGCTCGAACTAAGAAATAGATGCTTAGTAAATAATAAAAAAACTTTGTGAAGATTTCTGGAACAAACTAAAATGAAAGATGGAGTAAGAGACAATATGCTGTAGAAGAGATAGCACAGCTCTCTATATAAACTATAATTATACGTTGATATTTACTTTATAAAAAATGGGTTGAAAACTCACATACAAAAGAGATAGCCCAACAAAAGAGATAGCCCAGCATGTATATTACGGAGTACATGAAAGATGGGTTATCAACGTACATCATACAGCTGGTAGATGTCAATCACGGGCCATACAAATAGATAAGAGCATTTATTTTACTTGTCTCCTTCCTTTGTGAGGAAACTCACATAATTGATACCGAGTATAATAAATACATACTTCATATATGTGAGGATATAATTTAGATGAAATAATTTTCTACTTTCTCGGTAGTCGGACCAACATGATTTTGTTTCTATATGACAATTAATTATGGCCGGACTGCTAAAACAATTTCACCTAATAATAATAATAATAATAATAATAATAATAACAAAAGTAATAAATTTAATCTCTCTTGCTAAAAAAAAACAATAACTACTTGGAGCAACTTAATCGATGTGATATTTAATAAAATTCATTTTATAGAATGAATACATAATATTTATATTTACTCCTACTAATTAAACTTGAATTTATAATTTGTGTAGTAGATTATGGCACACATTAGCAAAAGAGAGTTTGACGTCCTTGATTTATCTGGCCAAAAATATTTGGAATGGAAAGTCGACGCTTTGGCACATTTAAAAGCAAATGCCCTCGAAAACACAATTGCTGAAAATAATTCAGCTACTCCCCAAAATAAGGCAAAAGCCATTATCTTTCTTCGTCACCATCTTCATGAAAGTTTGAAGTCTGAGTATTTATTGGTAGATGACCCTAAAGAATTATGGGATAATCTCCAAGAAAGGTATGGCCATCAACAAAAGGTCCTTTTACCAAAAGCTCAATATGACTGGATCAATTTACGATTCCAGGATTACAAATCTATAAGTGACTACAATTCTGCCTTGTTCCAAATAACATCAAAATTGAAGTTATGCGGACAAAAAGTCACTGATGCCGAAATGTTGGAAAAAACTCTATCCACTATGCATCTTTCAAATATGCTTTTACAAGAGCAATATAGACAAAAGCACTTTCAAAAGTATTCTGATTTAATATCAGTATTACTACTTGCTGAGACGAATAATGACATTTTGATGAGAAACCACAATATGAGACCCACGGGTTGTAGCCCTTTTAGTTTTGGTCCACAAAATCATGGTTCAAAACATGAATCAAATGCAACCCATAGTGGTGCTCGTGGACATTTCAAACGTGGTCGTGGTATTGGTCGTTATAATGGACCTAGCCGGGGAAACAAACAGAGTAGTAGCTCTTACAAAGGCAAGGGAAAGCAAAACCCCCATCAAACAAGAGGCCCGACGAAATCTTCAGAAAAGGCTAAAGTCACTTGTTTTAAATGTGGCTTGTCAGGACATTGGGCAAATAAGTGTCGCACACCTACACATTTGGTTGACTTATATAAATCATCTCTAAAAGGAAAGAATGTGGAAACTAATTACGTCAACGAAAACGTTCCACCAATGCCCACATTTAATATGTCTGATTTCTATATGGATAATAATGAGATGAACACTGACATCGTCATGGGTGAAAAATAATAATAATAAAAATGAAATTATTCTGTTATGTAATATATTCTACAATAAAAGTTTGTTGTATTGTAATTATTATTTGATATGCTTGTTTCGGTTGTAAAAGTTATGTACATTTTAATGAATAAATTCTTGTTTATATTGCAATATTGAACTAATATTTGTTCATTTTTATCTTTTTAAAGATATGGAGTTAACTGAAATTTCTCCAAATGGCTTTGAACAATGTTTAATAGACAGTGCCACAACGCACACCATTTTGAGACATAGAGATTATTTTTCTCATATGACATTAGTTGATGCTAATGTCAATACAATCTCAGGTGTTGCTAAACTCATTGAAGGTTCTGGAATAGCCTGTGTAATTCTCCCAAAAGGGACAAAATTAATAATTAAAGACGCTTTATACTCCAGTAAATCACGGAGAAATCTTTTGAGTTTCAAAGATATGCGTCTAAATGGTTTTCACATTGAAACCATGTCTGAAAATCAAAAGGAATATTTATGTCTAACGACAAATAGATCTGGCAATAAATACATTTCAGAAAAAATGCCAGCATATTCCTCCGGACTATATTATACATATATCAGTCCAATTGAGATAAATGTGGTATCTAAAATTAATGACCACAATTCCTTTATCTTGTGGCATGACCGTTTAGGTCATCCAGGCAGCACTATGATGCACAAAATTATTCAAAATTCACTTGGACATTCATTAAATAATGTCAAAATTCCACAATCAAGTGATTTCTCATGCACAGCCTGTTCTCTTGGCAAATTAATTATCAGGCCATCTTTATACAAAATTGGAGTTGAATCTCCTGCATTTTTAGAAAGAATTCAAGGAGATATTTGTGGGCCAATTGCCCCTCCGTGTGGACCCTTTCGATACTTTATGGTGCTCATTGATGCATCAACACGTTGGTCACACGTCAGTCTTTTATCGACTAGAAATTTTGCATTTGCAAATCTCCTTGCTCAAATTATTCGTTTGAGATCACAATTTCCGGATTTTTCAATAAAGAAAATCCGACTTGATAATGCAGGGGAATTTACATCCCAATCTTTTAATGACTATTGCATGTCAATTGGGATTGATGTGGAACATCCAGTTCCACATGTGCATACACAAAATGGTCTTGCTGAATCCTTAATTAAGCGATTACAATTAATTGCTAGACCATTATTGATGAAATCCAGATTACCATCATCTGCATGGGGATATGCTATAATGCATGTTGCAAATTTAATTAGGCTCAGGCCAACTGCATATCATAAATTTTCCCCATTGCAATTAATATCTGGTAAAGAACCAAATATATCACACATAAAAATATTTGGTTGTTCTGTGTATGTACCAATTGCTCCACCTTATCGTACTAAAATGGGTCCTCAAAGAAGGTTGGGAATTTATGTTGGTTTCAAATCTCCCTCAATTATTAATTATCTAGAACCTATGACTGGTGACTTATTCACCGCACGGTTCGATGACTGTCATTTTGATGAAACAGTATTCCCAGCCTTAGGGGGAGATAATAAAGAAATGGACCCACGTACGGAAGATATTACTTGGAATGCAACAGGTTTATCTTTTCTTGATTCTCGCACAAATGCTTGTGAACAAGAAATTCAAAAGATCATTCATTTACAAAGTGTTGCAAACCAATTGCCTGATGCTTTCACAGACTCAAAGAAAGTGACGAAGTCACATATTCCAGCTATGAATACTCCTTCTCGAATAGAAATTCCTGCGGAGATTAGCGAAAGAACTCTTGCTAATGAATCTATGATACGTAAAACACGTGGTAGACCACTTGGTTCAAGAGATTTGAAACCAAGAAAATTGAAAAAGCAAGATGTAGTTTGTGATGCCAAAGAAGTTCAACCTTCTCAAGAAGAAAATGAACATTATGATAATATTGGCATTGAAGATAACATCAATAATAAGGATACCTCAAAAGAGGATCCAATCACCTTTGAAGAGGTAAATATTCCAGATACAGATAGAAACGTTGATAATTTTGAAATTTCAATCAATTACGTTTCTAATGGAATGCAATGGAATAGAAAAAATATTGATGTTAACGATATATTTTCATATGCCATCGCCACAGATATAATGAATGAACACGATGACAATGAGCCTAAATCTATTGACGAATGTCGCCGTAGAAACGATTGGCCAAAATGGAATGAAGCAATTCAGGTAGAACTAAAATCGCTAGAAAAGCGTAATGTTTTTGGACCAATTGTCCACACGCCAAAAGGCGTAAAACCTGTAGGTTTTAAATGGGTGTTTGTGCGTAAACGCAATGAGAAAAATGAAATCGTTAGATATAAAGCCCGACTTGTTGCCCAAGGTTTTTCTCAAATGCCAGGAATCGATTATGATGAGACGTATTCTCCAGTAGTTGATGCTGCTACTTTACGATTTTTAATTGACATGTCTGTTTTTGAAAGGCTGCAAATGCGGTTAATGGATGTAGTGACCGCATATTTATATGGTTCACTCGATACAGATATATATATGAGAATTCCTGGAGGCTTTAAAATACCTGATGCTTATAGCTCGAAATCTCGAGATTTATTTTCCATAAAATTGCAAAAGTCATTATATGGATTAAAACAATCTGGACGCATGTGGTATAACCGTCTAAGTGAATATTTGATTAAAGAAGGATACAAAAATGATCCTATCAGTCCATGTGTTTTCATTCAGCGATCTGAATCAGGATTCGCCATAATTGCAGTATATGTTGATGATTTGAATATAATCGGAACTTCCAATGAAATTGAAAATACTGCTAAATATCTCATGAAAGAATTTGAAATGAAAGACCTTGGGAGAACAAAATTTTGTCTCGGCATTCAAATTGAACATTTGAGAAATGGTATTTTTATCCACCAATCAAATTATACCGAGAAACTTTTGAAGCGGTTTTACATGGAAAAAGCTCACCCACTCAATTCCCCGATGGTGGTTCGATCTCTCAATGTGCATGATGATCCTTTTCGACCTTGTGAAGATGATGAAGAAATCCTTGGTCCCGAAATACCATATTTGAGTGCTATTGGAGCGTTAATGTATTTGGCTAATAATACACGACCAGATATTGCTTTTTCTGTAAATTTATTAGCCAGGTACAGTTCTTCTCCGACAAGAAGACATTGGAATGGCGTCAAACATATATTCCGCTATCTCAATGGTACAATCGATCTTGGATTGTATTTCAAAAATGGTGCAAATGCCACTTTAATTGGCTATGCCGATGCAGGATACTTGTCTGACCCACAAAAGGCAAAATCACAAACATGATATGTATTCACCTATGGTGATACCGCTATCTCATGGAGATCAATGAAGCAAACATTAACTGTCACATCATCAAATCATGCAGAATTAATTGCTCTTTATGAAGCAGGTCGAGAATGTGTCTGGTTGAGATCAATGATCCAGCACATACATACAAAATGAATGTGGTATAAAATCTTTTACTTGTAATCCTACTGTGATTTATGAAGATAACACAGCATGTATAGTTCAGATCAAAGGAGGTTACATCAAAGGGGATAGAACAAAGCATATAGCACCAAAACTTTTCTCCACACATGATCTTGAGAAAGAAGGAACAGTTGACGTCAAACAAATCAAGTCCTGCGACAACCCTGCTGATTTATTCACAAAGTCATTAGCACCGAAGAAATTTGAAGAACTGGTCCACAAAATTGGAATGTGTCGTCTTCGAGATATATGTTAAATTGAGGGGGAGTAATATAATGCACTGCACTCTTTTTCCCTTCGCCAGGATTTTATCCCACTGGGTTTTTCCTGACAAAGGTTTTTAACGAGACAGTACATTATAATACTATGATACTAATACCCTAGAATAATTAGAAAATGACCATTCAAGGGGGAGTGTTGAAATATATTGAATTAGTCATCTTCCAACTATTCCTGATTAGGAATACTTATCACCATTGTATAAATAATTAGGAAATCATAATTATGATTCTAGATGATAATTGTGTGGTTCACAATTATCCTCTAATCCTAATAAGCTTAGCTTTTCTCCTATAAATAGGAGTCTTCTCCATTGTAATCAACACACCCTCATTACACCATTATCAACTCTCTAATACACCTCTATCACTAAGTGTTCTACTATACTTTCTCTCCCTGATCTTCTGCTCATTTCCTTCCATATTATAACAAAAATAGAATTTTTGAACTCCTAATTTCTTACATTGGTGACTAGTTGAGGGTATTAAAAATGGAAAGGGGAGGGGAGAGTCTCAAATATAGAAGATGAATTGAGCCAACAAGAGGAAATAAGTGAGAGAGGCTGCGCAGCTGGCCAACAGTGGCCAAGAGGGACGTACTGTTCTTTTAAATGAAGTTGACTTCATCTTATACAAAAAAAAAACCTTTTCATTTAAAGGTACGTAACTTTTTTATTTATATTCCAAATTTTTACTATATCAAATTTATAAATTTTTATGATCTTTCATTGGACACCAATATTGTATATATAAAAACTTAAAAATCTAAATTTTTAATACTTGAGTTTTTAGGCCTAAAAAACACGAAACACAGATTTTTAATTCATGTAGCCTTCATAAATAACTGAATATTCCATAATTGAATTTTAATTGGATGAAGTTCATTTCTTGTTAATCGGAAAAAAAATGAGATTTATTTATTTTTACATGGAAATGTGTATTTTTATTGTATAATTAATCAGAGAAAAAATTAAAAGGAAAACATTACTTATAATAATTTAATTAATATTTTACTAAATTGATATGTAAAAAATATGCAGAATGTATTTTATTGACGGTGCTGGAATGCAGAGAAATAGGAGTCAGAACACTATTTTCATATGGATGAAGTCCATTTTTGACATCTGGACTCTCACAAGTCACACCACTCCAAATGATCTTAGGTAATTCCTAGTTTGAGTTTATCTGGCTTAACACTGTTATCAATCCATTTTTTTACCAAATAAAATATATTTTAAATATAATTTCTATATAATGCAATACATTTAGCCAGTATTTAATCAATTTTAGCAGATTCAATCGATTGAGTCAAATCCAGTGTTTCAAAACAAGTTCAGAATTTGATAAGACAATATTATATACTCACCATTTTATTATTTAGTTTAACTGTCACAAGTGTGGTTCCACTATTTGGAAAGTATTTGCAAATTTTCATTAGATATCTATTAAAAGAAATCGTAAAAGATCACCTGATAAATCATCAAAATGCAATGATCTAAATGACCATAACCTAGTTAGTTAAATATGGCACGGGAATTAAACCTAAGGTTCCATACATACACGTTTTACTAGCTAACGTGAATGAAAAAAGTCAAGAAATCGTTGAAAAATGTTGACTTTTAAAAATCATGTAAATACGTATGTGTATAATACGTTATTTGTCACAAAAATTCGGACAAAAAATATGGGGTATTATTTTGAACATTTAAATTATACACTTCACAAAATAACATATAGTAAAAAGAAATAAAGTATACACATATTCAAGTAGCAAATTTCTACATAAAAGAATAGTTCGTGATTCCACAAGTCAATGACAAAAATAAACACAGTAATTAGGCGTAAGACATGATTTTGCAAAATATGTCAAAAAATAAGGCATATTAATGATCGAATGAGACCAACTTAACATCATCATCTTTATATGATCACCAAATAACACTAAATTAAACTCATCATTTTCATCAAGATGACGGATGCCATATGAGAAAATTGTGCGACTGCTATACTTATTATTGTTTATGCGTAAAAGTTTGTACTAAAAAAATGTCAGATGTGGAAAACCTTAACTTTAATTTGATGTGCTTGTTTGAAAAAACATCAAAAATCTAGTAGTATTTTAAGTTTTAATCTTTTAGGATGTTAGTTTAGCCGCCATGCAATTAACTTTAGTGTTTATATTTAATTATTGTATATTTGGCATTGTAACGATACAAACACACAGGGTCATGGGGAAGAGGCTTTCTTTTATGCTTTTAAACTATTGTTGATCTTTTATGCATTTAATGTATTTATTCAATAGATCAATTCATGTTTCTATTTTTTGTAAAATACGGGAAATATACGTTTTATATGAGAAGTAGAAGTTTTTTTCCTTTTTAAACGGACCGACATTATTTTTCGTTGTAGACGTGTTATTTTACTCAAAAAAACGTTACGCGTGTTAAACGCGTTTAAAACGCAAAAAAGCTAACTAGGGACCACAGTGGCTTACTAAGTTACTAATGCATTTTAGCATATTGTTGCCACCTGGGTTCGAAGTCCTTGAAAAAGCACAAGACACTGAAATTTTTATTCAGACTGAAATTTTCTGGTCTAATCTGATTTGGTCTGCTTTGGTCTGATCTGATTTGATAAATATTTGGTCTCTTTGTATTTTATAACTATCCAAGTCTGGTCTAATCTGGTCTGAGACTGAAAACGGTCCAAGTAAAAACATACTCCCTCCGTCCCGTTGGAAGGTTCTCATAGCCAAACGGCACGGTTATTTAGATAATAATTAAATAAAGTACTTCGAGTATATTTTGAGAAATAATTTTAATAGGTATATATTCTAATGTAGTTAGACCAGAAATTCTGAATTTTCTGAATTTCCATATAGACATGTGTATATTAACAGAGTTAGCTACCATATTTCCAACATCACCCGCCAATAATCTAAAACATGTGTCATTCTGAATTTCCGATTCAACCTGAAGGGCATCCAACTCCACGTCAATATTATCCCAACCATGAGATAATGACCCATAAAGAGCTTCCCTAACATTTCAGCTTCCTGCACCGAGCACGGGTATGGTTGGACTCGGGCCGGGTCGGGCCCGGGCCGGGCCGGCGGTTCTATATAGCTGGACCCGGGACCGGCCCGGGTAGCCACCGGGTCCGGGCCGGGTCCGGGCCGGGCCGGGCCTCGGGTTTGGTTATTTTTTTTTTGCTTAACTAGCCATCCCTGACCCCCCCCCCCCTCACCCCCCACCCCCCCAAACCCCCCCAAACCCCTCATAAACATCAAGCCCAACCCGGTGGAGCCCAAACAAATGAAAAAAATCAAAAAAAAAAATGGCCTGAACCGGGCCGGACCTTGTTATGGGTGACTCGAGCCCGGACCGGAAACCCACCGGGTCGGGCCTACATGGACCGGTCACTGACCGGGCCACCGGTTCGGGCCGGGCCGGAACAGTACCGGTCCCGGGCCGGTTCCGGGTCAGGCCACCCGGCCTGAGTCCATATCTAAGCACGGGCAATCCAGTTGTTTCGTGCTTGCACCAAGGAAGACTCCATCCGAATCTCGAACAACCCATCCAAGCCCATAGACTTCCTCTTCGGTGGCCGCGTCTACGTTGAGCTTACCTAACCTCGTGGCAGACCGCAGACGCTTCTTGGATCGCTGCACTCCTCTGATCTCCATCCATCCCAAAAAGAACAAGTCTTTGCTAAAATGTAGCCTACATCTGTCTGGGAGTCCTGCCAAACCCGAACATTCCTTCCCCGCCTAGGCATGGACCGGTTCCGAGCCGAGCCAAACCAGGCTTTTGTACCGGGGGTTAAGGCCTGGAACCGGGTCGGGTCGGGTAGCGGTTTTTTTTTGCTTTTCTTATTAATTCCTACCCCTCAAACCCCTCCAAAACACCAAGCCCAACCCGTCTACCACCTAGAGACTTTAAAAAAAATTGGCCCGGAACCGTCCCGGACCGGCCGATTCCAAAGAAACCTACAGCCCGAGCCCGCACCCAAAACACCCCCGGGTCAGGTCCTAGGCTTGGGCCCGGTTCCAGGCAACTGGGCCGGGCAGACCGGAACCAATCCATCCCTATGACCCCGCCAGATATCCCAGCAAATTAATACTCCCTCTGTTCCTAAATAAACTTCCAACTTTCCTTTTTCGTCCGTTCCAATTAAAACTTCCGCTTTCCCTTTTTGGTAAAGAATTTGTGGTTCACAACATTTCTTACACATTTCTCTCTCCTCTGCACAACTCACCACCACACAATATCCACTATCTTAAACTTTGTGTCAAACTCATTTGGAAGTTAAAATGGGAACGGAGGTAGTACTAGAATGCACCGCTTCTCTCTAGTTTTTGCTCAAAGACCTCTCAACCAGAAATTTTATGGAGTCCATTTTAAACTAAATTGCCAGTAAATACAATCTTGTAGTAAATAACTTGAGTATAATCTCAATTGCCAGTACACAAATCAGATGTGTGAAACCTGACAAAGTAAAATACAACTACAATAAATGTGGAGCATTACACTGCATACAGATTAATATCGAATTTTGAGATCTAGTCATCTAAAAGGATAAATGCTAATCTGCATGGCAGTGAGTGGAACAATGTGTATATAATACACTCAAGTGTACGAATGAAAACTTAGAATCCTCTGCTGATCATATGATCAACACAGTGACAAATTAATGATTGAAAAATCTAAAAACCCGAACTAAAAGAATCATAAAACGCCTCATTTCAGCTCGATTATTGGCGCTCTCTCTTCACACCCTTCTGACATCAACACATTTCTTATCAAACCACCAATAGGACTCGAGAACAAAATACCTGTAAAATTGGGGTTTAAGGTAAACAGCCCCGAGTGGCCCTCTTAAAGAGTGTCCATGGGTGTGAAACGGATTTCCTTAGATGACGAAACTCGATGGGCTATGAAAATAGATGTGCAGAAAGCCACAACAGAGAACAAAAGAGAAAGAGCCGTTGCCGCATCCCATGCACTACTAACTACCGCCCCAGCAGAACCAGAACTTCTGCCTGCCATAATGTCCATTGATATCCAATCGCAGCTGATTGAGTAATGCGCAGATCCATGCCATGGTTTCCCGTCAACTGGGTACCACAGAGCTACAGATATCTTACTTGATTTACCAATTGTGAACTGAGCATCCTGCACCAAAATGGAATTCAAGAAGTTTGAGGACGGTTCTTATTAAGATTTGGGGTTTATAATATAAGGCCAATATAATTGGAATCTCATACGTGTTTTTGTTATTTCTTATATTTAGCCGGTGTGGGACAATATCTCCAACACCCCACACAACCACACACTTTGTCTTATCATGCAATTTTTAAAGTTTTCCATTGGCAATGCATTAGCGTCTCCATTGGATTTGTCATAATCACAAATCATAGCATTTAAGTTTTTCATAGAGACCCACATCATGACTATGGATCCAACAGCTTTATAAAAGAAGAAAATAGGCGGAATAGATTTTCTTCTCATTTACCGAACTTAAATAGGTAAAGAGAGAATCCTGGAAATCCTGGGAATTAATTGATTCCCTAAAATAAAAGGATCTACAATATCAAAAAGATAATCTACCTTAAATACAATTCTAATCAAGGCAAGAGATAATTCTACAATTCTACAATTAATTACAATTACTATGCGCCTAAAATAGATGATTCTGTCCAATAACCTAAAATAGATGATTCTGTCCAATAACCTAAAATAGATTATTCTGTCCAACACTTTATATGAATACATACAGCTCTACTACCATAAGGCATAGAAACTTGCATTTTTATGCATAATTCATTTTACAAAGAAATCAGCACCTTCTAAAGGAAGTGCACATATCACCATGAAACTGACATTACCTGTTGCAGACGGTCCATTGTTGTTAAAGGCCTAGAGAATTCAAAGTAATATGTTCCTGGATGAGCATTTGACGCATAAGGGCTGTCTTCCTTTATAAAACCTGCTTAAAGAACTAGTCAATAAAAGTTCTTTTCATTTTTCTTAAAACCAAATAGTTGTGAATTCAATTTAAAAAGTTGAGCCCATTAACACAGAAAAATAATACATATCATGGAAAGCTGTGCATCATGCACTCTCTTAATAATGATTCACCCTGATATTTCTTCCATAGCTAATAGTAGTATATAGAACTGCTATAATAGTAGTTTACTGATCTATTACTTATATTAAAAGACATTAAGAAACAAAAGCAGCAGAAAGGGAAGAAAACTCAGTACCCGAGTGACTGGTCAGGCTACTATGCCACCATGCACCTTTCCAATCATTCTGCGCACTAGAATCGTTTGCTGGTACAAAGCCAAAAAGCAAGAAGCAGCAACCAAAATGAGAAGCAACTTAACTTAATAAGAATGCAGATTCTAATGCACCAAAATGTTCATAGTTGCAACTAAATGCAGGTCCAAGAAACAATTACGAACATACATAACTGAAATCATTGCATTTATGGCCCCTATATTGCGCTTGATTAGTCACTTTGGTCCCACATTGTCCTTTTGCTTCAAAATATAGTCTTCAATTGTATTGCATTAATTACATGAACACACACAAATATCAAATGGACAACATATCACATTTTTTTAATACAAAAAAGAACTGCCTAGGATGAAATTGAAGGATCGGGCATACCACATGGACCAAAAATGCTATACATAAACACACACAAATGCATGACATTTCTTAGTTATTTCAGAGATATAAAGCTCCTCAATGGGAATATTGAACCATACCTGAAGGACCAACACCATCTAAGTATCTGCAATGAGGATTCCAGGCATAAAGATCAACCAAGTGACCAAACCTGTATAGTAGTGGTAAACATAAGCTTAGCATCCTTTTATGTTTTAACCAGCCCGATAATATTACACCGGTCAAAAACGAGCTACCGGACAGACATAAATTACTGTTATCACCTGTCTCCCCCATTCCCCTCACTGTTATCTACTGGATTGCCTCCATAGAGCCGCCCGGGAATAGCATTCCCTATTGAGAAGTGCATTATGTCAACTTCATGTCCATGGCATGTCTTGCTCGAGCAACTATCAGGTTCTTCTTTACACCCACCCATCTAAAAGTGTTAAACTCACAGATTTCAATTACAATATTCTTTTACTGATTATATACTAATCAAATCAAACGAAGTCAGCAAAGGCTACCCACTCTGTGATAAGTTGCATTTCCCCCAATTGGGAACATGAGAGCTACAGAAGGGCATTTCTTATTGTCTCTGCGGGAAAAAACACAGCTCTGTTTCAGTACATCTTCAAGTAATTAGGCAGACCTAAAAACTCTAGTACACTGATAACTTTCTTCTGATTTGCTGCTTATATGATTCATACCCGGCAATATATGCGTAACTCCCGTCAACCTGCAACATATAGAATACATCTTTCCCGTCGTGCAATGCCTGCAAAAAAACCACACGCCTAGTATGCAATTAAAGAAAAAACGAGAGAAGAATCGAGATCTTGAAAATATAATCTTAAATTAAAAAAGGCAATTTTCAAATGCTTCAACTTGTTCCTAGAAAGGGGTAGTGATGTACCTTGATGGTCATCTTGCCGCCATTGTACTCCTTATCAGCATCGGGATCCAACGCAGGAAAAAGGGAAAATTCAGACCCATAAACATCCTTCCAGTCATCGACATGGCCGTCGAGGGTGACTACCCCGGGTCTGAACTCGGCCTGGACTCGGATCTCCGGGTCAGATTCGCAGCTCCACTCGCCAGACTCTTGGTGAGAGGTCACTAAACGGACGCGAGCTAAGATCAAGAACGATAGAACTACGAGTGATGGATGCATTGCTGTTGCTGAGGAAGGGCTACGGTGTTTGGCGAAAAAGAAGAACATTGACTGTGTGGGAAATTAGAATTTTGGCGTACCAGATTATGTATAGACTTTTTTGCATAAATGTTCCAAAGACGGCCAGTTTTGACTCTTTGCTAAAGTACGAATCTATGATGGCTTAGTATAACCTCCCTCCCAATATAATCCGTCTCAGTATAATCTTCCAAATGATGACCACTTTTTTTTAACCTGCCAGTCGAAACACCAAAATAAGTGGAGTAAATGCTGAGGAAAATTTAATGGATTGTATTAAAAAATGAAACAGATTACAATGCGAGTTGAGAACAGCTCAATACAAGACAAAGCAACATGACACTAGCAAAAAGTCCAACAAAAAGAAGATCCAGTTAGATCACATAAGGAGTTGAAGCAGCATCCAAATCAATTGCCCCCTTTAGTTCTTGTGGATCCAGTTAGACGGCTTATATTACTTCACTATATTAATAACTTTTTGTTATTATAATTATGTTTATTTTTACATTTTTTTAGAATATTCTTCTAAATCTATTATAGTGTGTGCTCTTGTTGATGTCAACAAGGTACTTGGCATGATATTACATTTATAGTAAGTTACATTTTATCCATTAGTTTAATTTTAGAAAACCCTTTTTTAAGTTTGACTATTTTTAATATTTAATAACAGTACAGTTATTTTAATTCATAAGTTTAATTTTAGTAATATCTTTCCCAGCAGTATAAACTTCTTTTGTGTTTTGTTATTAATTTTAGTAATATATATTCTTACATATACTACATATAATAGTATTTGTATTTGTAATCAAATCCACACTTTCAAATTCGAATTACGAATCTAATTAAAATTCTTCGACTTAATTACAATCCTTCTGTCCATAACACATTTGTTACCAAAACAATAGCATTCAAGAACAACCACTAGAAAAATTGTGATTCAAGGCAAGCAACTTTAAATTTCCCTCTTAAAGAGTGTCTAAGGGTAAAATGGATTTCCTGAGATGACAAAACTCAGTAATGTGTAGAAAGCCACAACAGAGAACAGAAGAGAAAGGGCTGTTGCCGTGTCCTGTGCACTGCTAACTACCCACCCAGCAGAACCAGAACGTCTGCCTGCCATAATGTTCATTGATACCCAATCGCAGCTGATCGAGTAATGTGCAGATCCATGCCACGGCTTCCCGTCAACAGGATACCACAGAGCTGCAGATATCTTACTTGATTTACCAATTGTGAACTGAGCATCCTGCACCAAAATGGAATTCAAGAAATTTGGAGGACTGTGGTTATTAAGATCTGAGGTTCTATCATATAAGGTCAATATAATTGGAGTCTGATATGTTGATTTGTAATCTACTATATTTAGCCGATGTGGGACAATATCTTCAACACCCACGATCACACACTTTGTCTTATCATGCAATTCTTAATTTTTTCCATCATTTGCAATGGAGCCAAAAATTCATTATTTTTTGGCTTGAGATTATGATGGAATAAAGCAAAATGGCTCACTAAACTGTCTGCGCTTCTTTGTTATGAAGCAGCAGTCAGTCCATGCAATTTTGGACGCGATTTTCACTATGGGTCATCCGGAAACAGTCTCTCTGTGCTTTAGTATAGGGGTAAGACTGCGTACATCCGACCCTCCTACCCCACCGTAGGTGGGAGCCTTTGCGGCACTGGGGTAAATGAAAATGAAAAAATGGACAATGCATTGTCATCTTCATCGATTGTTTCTTCATCGGATTTGTCATAATCGGAAATCAAGGAACTTATATTTTCATTTTATTCATAGGGGCTCACATCACGACTGCTAATCTAGTGTGCACTCATAAAGAAATAAGACCTAGGGTTCTATACTAGATTACCAATCTAATAGGAGACTTATATGTTGTTTGTTAATTCATATTGATCTTATGTGAGGCAATATCTTCAACAGCTTTATATAACCGAACAGCTCTACCAAAAGGCACAAAAGAATTGCGTCTTTACAAAAAAGCATCACTTTCTAAGATAAGTGCACAAACCACCATGAAACCAACATTTACCTGTTGCAGATGGCCTATTGTTGTCAAAGGCCTAGAAAATTCAAAGTAATATGTCCCTGGATGAGCATTTGTTGCATAAGGGCTGTCTTCCTTTTTATAACCTGCTTAAAGAACTAGTCAATAAATGTTTTTCTCGATTTTCATACAAAAATAATACAGAGTAGTTGTGAATTCAATTTAAAAGTTGAGCCCATTTACAAAGAAAAACAAAACGCATCATGGAAAGCTGTGGTCTTGCACTCTTTTAATAATGAATCTCCCTGATATTTCTTCCATAACTAATATACAGAACTGCTAAAATAGTAGCCTGGTGATCTAGTACTTACATTAAAAGAAATTTTGAAATAAAAGCAGCAGAAAGGGAAGAAAAAGTCAGTACCCGAGTGATTGGTCAGGCTACTATGCCACCATGCCCCTTTCCAATCATCCTGCGCACTAGAACCGTTTGCTGGTTCAAATCCAAATCGCAAGAAGCAGCAACCAAAATGAGAAGCAACTTAAATTAATCTGAGTGTAGATTCCAATGCACCAAAAATGCTAATACACTGCAGCTAAATGCAGGTCCAACAAACAATTGCATACACACATAGCATGCGTTTGGGAAACGGCGGCTTTGTTTCAATCCGCTATTTTTTCTAAAAGAAAACGTTGCAAAATGCAGCGGTTAGATTTGGATCCGCCAAAAACCAAACAGGGCCATAATTGAAATAATTGCATCTTTTGTCCCTAAATTGTGCGTGATTAGTCACTTTGTTCCCCGTTGTCCTTTTGGTAAAAACAAAAAACAGTCTTCAGTTATATTGCATTAATTGCATTGTGTGACATCTGATCTATCAAATTGCAGGACAGATTTTTTTCCCTAAAATATTACCTAAATATAAGTTATGGATAAAAAACGTGACTAGAGTTACTGTGATTATAACTTAGTAAAATTGAACATGATTATACGAGTAGTAACTAAAAGTTATTAAGATGGTCACTTTGTATAAAAGGTCATATTTTTGTCCATTGTCCTTATTTTAGTCGTATACTCCGTATGTAATCATTTCATTTTTTATACAAAAAAGAACCATGTAGGATGGAAATGAGTAATTAAGCATACCACACGGACCAAAAGGCTAGACATAAGCACAGACAAACGCATGCCAGTTTCTTAGTTTTTGCAGAGATATGAAGCTCTTCAATGGGGATATTTAACCATACCTGAAGGACCAACACCATCTAAATTTCTACAATGAGGATTCCAGGCATAAAGATCAACCAATTGACCAAACCTGTATAGCAGTGGTTATCATAAGCTTAGCATCCTCTTAACTGGTTAAAAACGACTTACTGGACAGATATAAATTACTGTCATAACCTGCCTCCCCCATTCTCCTCACTGGTATCTACTGGGTTGCCACCATAAACCCGCCCAGGAATAGCATCCCCTATTGTGAATTGCATTATGTCAACTTCATGGCCACGGCATGTCTTGCTCGAGCAACTACCCGGTTCTTCTTCACACCCACCCATCTTAAAGAGATAAATCTCACATTTCAATTACAATATTCTTTTAATGATGGAATAGTAATGAAATTGAAAGAGGTCAGGAAATGCTACTCACTCCATGATAAGTAGCATTTCCCCCAATTGGGAACATGAGAGCTACAGAAGGGCATTTCGTGTTGTCTCTGCAGAAACAAACACAGAGCTGTTCAGAAATCAGAGTCCATTTTCCAATCATTAGTCATACCTAAAAACCCTCAGGGCTAACTTTGTTCTAACTTGCTGCTTATGATTCATACCCGGCAGTATAAGCATAATTCCCGCCGACCTGCAGCATAAAGAATACATCTTTCGCGTCGTGCAATGCCTGCAAAAAAAAACACATTCCTTCTATGCAATTAAAGAAAAAACAAGAGAAGAATCGAGTTCTTGAAAGTATAAACATAAATTAAATAAGTAATCTTTAAAGGTTTCAACTTATTCCTAGAAAGGGGGTAGAGGATGTACCTTGATGGTCATCTTGCCGCCACTATACTCCTTATCAGCATCGGGATCCAACGCAGGCAAGAGGGAAAATTCGGTCCCAATAACGTCCTTCCAATCATCGACATGGCCGTCGAGGGTGACTACCCCGGGTCTGAACTCGGCCTGGACTCGGATATCCGGGTTAGATTCGCAGGTCCACGGGCCAGATTCATGGTGAGAGGTCACTTGGCCAATGCGAGCTATGATCAAGAACGATAGAACTACGAGTGATGGATGCATTGACTTTGTGTTGGGCAGAGAAGAAGAATATTGACTTGGTGGGAATTGGAATTTTTGGATGTATTTAACATTTTAACTCGCATACAAAAAGTACGGAGTACAATACAATATTGTACTTTTATGACAATGCAATGTCGGGGATCTCTAGTATAGTTCTTCCTAGTATCCTTATTTATGCTGTACTAAAGCTGTACACTTGTAGTACCATGTTTTTTCGAAGTAAAAATATGTGAAATGATTTCTTTTGGATTGAAATTTATTATCTGGTCTCATCTGCTAAATATCTAGTTTTTGTATACTTCTATTTCATAATTATGAAAGTCTGGTCTGATCGAAACTGGTATGACACTGAATATAAAAAAAAAGTTGAATCCCTTGAAACTTAATTGACATCCTTTCAATTTATGGCGTGGGGTTAACCTTTGATGGAAAAAACTTGAGCTAATTTAAGAATTACCCATGGGAACATGTGGGAATTGTATCATTTGAAACTTAATTGACACTCATACATCTAGATGAGTCAAATTTAATCTTGAAGTCGACATTGCATATGAAAACATTATAGAAAATTGAAGCCCTTGAAACTTAATTGACATCCTCACATCGAGATGGCTGTCAAACACTCTGCATCTTGGGGGTGAACTCCTGGTAGCACCGGCCTTTACTGAACCGACCGGCCGGGGTCGTTGCGTGTTGGGGTGCATGTACAGTGACGAGGTCTGGTGATGGTAGAGGTCCGGCGACGATAAGGTTTTTGCCCGGAGATAAAAGTATGGATGGCCTGCCGGAGATGCTCTGGTGATGGAAGGTGGCCTCGCTGCTGTTCCAGGTATTCTGTTTGGATGGGTTTTTAGGTAGCTTTATCTTGGAACGTTTGTGCTTCTTCGTGTCAGTGTCCTCTGGTTCGTAGCCGGAAAAGACATCCGGTTGTATTGGATGCATAGCTGTCGCTGAGTGACGGCCGTGGGAGGGGATTTGACTTGGTGACGGAAAGGTGACGGCCGTGGTCTGATGCGCAACGGAACTCCTGGAAGGTGATGGATTGGTACGTGCATTGCCGGAGAAGACAGCCGGCTCCTGATTCAGGTTTTATTCAAGGTAGAGCGGCCATGGTTAGAGGATGAGATTTTGGATCTGGTGAAGTTCTTTGGTTGTGGTGTTCATCCGGCTTGGTACTTTGCCTTTCTTTATTTCCACCGGACTGCTACAGGGCTGCCGGAACTTGGTGGGGTGATGGGCGGATCTGAGAAGGGTTCCCGGCTACTGTCTTACCGCCTCCAAAAAACCTTCTATCGTTGCCACTGGAGGTCGCCGGGGTCTAGTGGGGGTGGGGGTGGATGGGGGAGATTCGGTTTGGCTTTTCGTGTTCTCCGGCTGGGTTTGTTAACCGTTTTCCTCTCTTGCCGGACCGCCGGGGAGATGCCGGGACCAGGCGGGGTGGGGGAGGGAAGGGGGGTCTTTGTCTCCGGCTTTGGTTTTGTTTACCTCTCCGGTCAGTGGTCACCGGAAAACCTGGACTGGCGCCGGAGCCAGGTGGGGGACTGCGACGGGGGGGGGGGGGGGTTCGAACTGACGGACAGATGGACACCTGTACGATTGTACAGCCTGTCACATCACTTTTGAATTTTGCTGGATTGGCGCTTGGCTTCATGCGGCGCAAGGGGGTAAGGATGGTGATTGGGCTGATTCCTAGGGTTTTGGCCCGTTTTTGAAGATGGAAGCTACGCTCGTGGGCCAACAATGCTGGAAGCTTGCTGCACTAGGCTGGCTCTGTGCGCTGCTGGTTTTTTTGGGCCCAAAGGCATTCTACATGCTGGGCTTGGCTGATGCATTGGATGCTGCTGGATGTTGGGCCAGGTGGCGGACCATTTTTGGTTCAAAACTTGGGCTCCTTATTGATGTATTGGACAGTTTGTGATATGAGTCGGGGCTTGTCCCGTGCCATTTTGATTTTCCAAAAAACTCTCTCTCTCCCTCCTCGCATGCGGGGGGGGGGGGGGGATATGATAGATACTATTTTAGGTTAGCTTGCTAGCTTAGATAGTTATTTTTGATTTTTTGATGCATTGTACTTGTGCTATTTTTCTAGATATATATATTTACATTTTATCCAAAAAAAAAAAGAGGAGTCAAATTTAATTTTGAAATCCGACATTGCATAGGGAAACACAATAGGGAATTGTGTCCTTTGAAATTGACATTCTCACATTTAGAAGAGTCAAATTTAATCTTGAAATCAACATTTTTTATCTAGCAATATGTCTTAAAAGTAGCTTAGCATCCAAAACACCGCGCTCAAATCTTATGATAAATAATATTAAGCCATAATCAAGCCCCCATTAAATGATCTATATTCCGCAATAACTTAATCGGAGTTCAAACTTTTAAAGACAACTCATGATTTGGAACCAGTGTCCTACACCATGAGAGTGGACATGGGATTTGATGGATAGTCTACCTGGGGGTATATATTCGAAGGGTTATTACGGGGAATAACTTAGAGAGAAGTCAGAGCGAACAAGTAAGAGAGAGAGTGTATATTCAATATGTATTTTGCGTGTTATGGCTTTTCAGCGTGGTTACAAATGGGGAAATGGGGTGCTATTTATAGTAGCAATAAATGCCGGGTAGGGACACGTGTCAAGCGCTCATTGGCTGAGGGGTCACCTCAACTGGTTGGCGCTGGCAGCCGCATGTGGCCGCATTTAATGCGGCTGTTGGATGGGACGTCTGTGCAGAGTACGGTGATCTGTACGCATGTGAAGCGGATATCTTGTCGAGTGAGATGCCTTCGGCTATAGAGCAGTAGCCGAGGGCTCTCCCTCCCGATGGCACCCCTGGTGCCGAGGGCTTACAGTGCCGAGGGCTGCTGTTTTCGCCGTTTTCTCCCAGTTTCTTAGTTTGCTTGAGAAACCCGCTCTATAATAATTTGGAGCCTTCGGCCAGGGGGCCGAAGGCACCCCTATGCGTTGTGCGGACTGCTTGGTACTCTGGGCGCTGTGATTTGGGCCTGTTGGGCCTGTTGGGCCTTTGCTGGAGTAGTAGGAGTCTGTGGGCCGGGGGTTCCCGGGCCATATACTCCATCAGGAGTCCCTCACTCCTTTTGCCGAAAGGTACTTGAGGGAAAAGGAGTAATTTGTGCTTGCCCTTTGATGTTGTCCTGTCGTGATCTCTGAAGTTGGTGAGGAGTTGTTGCTCTTATGTCCCTGCCGAAGGTAGTCCCTCAGTTACCCACATGTCGGGACTTGAGGGCTTGCTTTGTTGTTTGTTGGATTTTCACAGATTTTGTAATTTAATGATTTTCCCGAGGGGGTCCTCCAGTCCCCCACTCCTTGAGGCACTTGTAAAGTGGTGAAAAGGAGTAAAGTAGTTACGTTGCTGTTGTGGGCCGAAGGCTGACGCTTTTCGTTTCATTTTGGGGGGATGCCTCGTTAAAAACCTCATTAGGAAAAAACCCTTTGGGAAAAAATCCTAACGAGGGAAAAAGAGTGCACCGAATTCCCCCAATGATGAATCGAAAATGTCAAACCTTGGCACCGAAATCCTAACGAGGGAATGCCGAGGGCTCTCTCTTCTGAGGGCTCCTGTGTTGATTAGCCGAAGGCTCGCTGTTGATGTCCTGGTGGCGCCGAAGGGGAGCCCCTCAATCCAGAGATCGAGGGCCTGCAAGATGAGGGCAGCAGTGAAGTGTTTACCGGGGGGTCCACTGTTTGTTGATTTGTTGGTGATGAAGATACCCGAGGGCTCCCCATCCGTCAATGAGGAAACTCCCCGGGGGCTACCCAGTTTTGCAGTGCTGAGGGGGAATCCCCGAGGGGGTGTCCTTACATGAAGCCCTGGGTTTCTGAAGGAGTGATCCCGAAGGCGTCTGTTATGTGCTGTGTGGGGCGCAACCCGGGGGCACTTCTGAGTGATTGTACCCGGAGGCTATTTTTGATGAAGTGGAGTGAAGTAGAAAACCCGGGGGCTTCCAGAATATAGCCGTTGGAAACATAGCCGTTGGAATACGTAACGACAGGACATAGCCGTTGGGGGGATGGCACGCGTGGCGTGTGATGGCTGGTTGTTCGTGGGCGGCGTCACCGGTTGGGTGAAACGACGGCGCGTAATGATGGCGTCCATCCGGAGGCCCGGAACCCAGGCCCAAGCCCGGATCCCAGCGCCTATAAATACCCCAAGGCCAGGCATTCCTCCGTGTGCGATAAACTTGTTAGCGAAGCTCTGTCAATTTTTCTAGAGAGAGAAAGTTCAGCCTTCGGTCCAAAACTCAGCTTTCGAGGTCAGTGCTCCCTGCCTTTCTCCTTCTAGCATAGCTGTACTGTGCCCTTAGTTTAGGAGATAGAAAAGTTAGGAAACACTACCGTCTACGAGCCCTCGAACAAGAAAGCGAATGTCGTCCCAGAGTGACTCTCAGGACATCTCGAGGACGCCCTCGATGGAGGACGAAGGCATCTCCGATGTGGAGTCAAGCAGTGATCAGCCCTCGGATTGTGGTGATGCAGCCCTCGCCACTGAGGTGCAGAAAGATCTGACGGCTGAGGCCGAGGCGGAGGAATTCGAGCGAACTGCCGAGGATGAAGAGTTGGCCCTCGCCGTCCAAGTTGCTGAAGAGGAGGAGGAGAAGGAGAGGGCGAAGGTCACTGTGGCCGTCCTTCCCCCTCGGGGTGCTGGTGAGGCCAGTACTTCCCAGCCGCTGAACGCGGTTCCCATCCGGGTGGCCCCCGGGAAGAAGAAGGCCAAGGCGGCTGTACCTAAGAAGAAGGTCATAGCTGCTGATCAGGGGAAACCCGTAGATATGCCGAAGGGGTATTCCTGGCTCAACACGGCTGCCCTGGAAATAAAGTCGAAGGCGGACAGGGCGGACCTCTACGTGACGCAGCTACATATAGGGCCCTCGGCCGAGGTGGTCGAGCCGGGAGTTGACGATGTGCTCTCTCGGGCGCCCGAAGGGTGCATTGCAGTACACGTGCTGTCGGTATCCATGGGCCTTCGGTTCCCGCTGCACCCCTTCCTCCGGGAGTACCTGAGGTTCGTCGGCTTGGTGCCCTGCCAGCTGACACCTAATAGCCATTCCTACGTGGCGGGTTTCCTAAACCTCTGTAGGGACCGAGGGGTGACCCCCAGCCTGGACTTGTTCTTCCAGAGCTTCAACCTCTGTCGAGGGGGTCACGCGAATGCGGAGGGCTTCGCCAACCTGCAGCATGTGGCCAGGTGGAAGCTGTTTACGGAGGCGCCTTCGTCAAACAAGGGCTGGAAGGAGCGCTGGTGCTATGTCAGGGTTGCTGAGAACCCATTCCCGGCGGAACTTCGGGATCGCTTCCGTCGGCATCCGAAGGTTGGAAGCGCCGCCCTCGAAAAAGACGGCCTGGTGATAGCAAAAATCCCGGAGGGTCGCACCAAGCAGGTCTCCATTAAAGACTATACTGCCGACAAGGGATTCTACGCCCTCGGCTTTCGCAGATACCGGTTTATTGGTGAAGCGGATGAGAAGTACCCCGTTTTTGCTGAGGCCTTCGGGGGAACAGGAGGTAGTCTACGAGGTCCCTTAGCACATAGCTTATCCTGTTCGTTTTTTTTTTGTTTTTTATTTTGTTCTTTGTGCCTTCGGTCAGCGTCCCCTCGATTCTAACCCCATTCCTTTGTTTCTTCGCAGGTGTCCCAGTGAAAATGATGAATGTTAGAGGCCTCGCAGACTTGAAGAAGAAGAAACCCTCCAAGGGACCGAGGGGGGCGGACGCCGGTGTCCCAAAACCCGCCGGTGACTTCTTCAAAAAACCGGAGGGGCCGTCGGCGGGCCCAAGCGCTGATGCTGCTACTGCCGCCAAAAGGAAGGGCTCGGGCAGAGATCCCGAGGGCAAGAAGCCCAAGACCGGGGGGGCGGGAAGAAATCCCCCCCGGTGATCATTGTTGATGAAGGCCCTGCCCCCGGGCCAGATGAGGACATGCAGGTGGCGAAGGTGCCGTCGGGAGTTCAGGGGCCATCTTCCGAGGTCCTCATGGTTTCCTTCCCGGCTGGTACGGCCGTGATGAATGGTACCGCCGACCCGAGGGCGCTTCTCCGAGGCATCACCCTCGAGATTGACAGGGTTGCCCTCGGGGCTGATGAAGACGAAGCCCTCGAGGACAGGATCCTCCGGTCCTCCCTTACAGTAAGTCTTTCACGCCTATTTCTTCCGTTTTACTTGGAGCTTAGAAACCATATTTGGCCTTGCTAACCCCTTTGTTTTTGTAGACATGCATTGCCCTCGGGGAGCAAGCCCGCGGCTAGAGGAGTGGCGCCTTCGCAAGGCCGAGCAGGAGGCCAAGATGCGGGAGCTCATCCGCCAGAATGCAGACGCTGTGCGGCAGATGGCCATGCTGGAGGAGAGCCTTCGGCAGATGACCCTGCGAGCGGAGGCCGCGGATCGGGGTAGGGCAGAAGCCGAGAGGTCCGCAGCTGAGGCCTTGGAGAAGGCTGCCAAGGAAGCCGAGGCCGCGAAGGTCGAAGCCGTCGAGAGAGCCCGGGAGGACGCAATCTCGGGGTTCTTGGCAGGGGGATGGCGGTCCGAGGAGCACAAGCAATGGCTGTCCTCGGTCGTCGAGTCCTCGGTCGACGAGTGGTGCGATGGGCCTGGCGTGGAGTGGGTTTCCCGAAAGGGTAAACAATACTACGATGGGGGCGAGTTTTTCACTCAAGCCCTCATCTATCGGAGGATGGCTCGCCACTTGAAGATCGAGCCAAAGGACTTTGACCCGGCAGCATACGGGCTCCCCCCTGCAGCCAGACATCCGCGTTCCTCTTCCCCCCGATGTCGAGAGGCCAGACCTAGAGGACTCTGAGCTCATGAAGGAAGCCGAGGGCGACGAACCTGAGGCCGACGCAGAAGTGACCTCGAAGCCATCGGGGGAGGCGGCCCCCGGGAGTAACATGATTTGATATGTACTTTTTATCACGTAAACATACATTTGTAATGATGACATTATTTATCCCTCGGCTTTGGCCTGCTTGTAATAGTAACATCGCAATTACACTTGCTTCCTTTTTTATAATTGAATGATCGCCTTCGGGCTTTGTATATATGACTTGTTCCCTTCGATTCCTTTATTCTTGGATGTATGCCTTCGGTATTCTTGAATGTATGTGTTTGTTCCTTTGAATGTATGTCTTAGGATTTAGAATACTATCTG